CGGGATATTTCCACCTGCCTTTCCGTGTAGCATAACTATACATGATTTTAAAGATCTTAACTCACCTCACCGCCCTGCCCCCCAGAACTAATCTATATGCTAATTTGCACTTGATAATGCCGCCCCACAATATGGTAATTCCTATAATGTTTTCCAGGGAGAGGGAGAAAGAAAAAGAGAAATTGAGCGTGGGCTCCATCAAGGAAGCCCGCGCATTGCCCAGACCCTCCGCAGAAAGAGCCAGGGAGAAACCTGGCTTTGCCAACCTCGAGCCCAGAAGGAAACCGATCTGGAGAGGCAGGGAGGGCTCTCTGAGGCCGCACTACTGTGCAGCGATGCTCAGAGGCAAGAGGCAGCGAACTGCAGCTTCCTCCTGGAGAATGGAGCTCCAGCGGCCTGCAGGGCCAGGCTCTGGCGACGCCGGCTGCGCTCAGCAGGGCACCCGAGGACGCCAGGTCTCAGCTTGCACGCGGGTCCTTCCCCGCTCGCCTGTTTTCCTACAAGTACTCGCCTTTGCTATTAAGATATCAAATGCAAAAGTGACAACAAGCGAGTCCTAATTAAACAGGAGCAGCATGCGCCCTCGAAGGAGCAGCCTGAACCCAACTTAGAGGAGCCTGGGACCGGAAAGGGCTTTGAAATCAGCTGGGTTTCCTGCTCTGCGTTTCTTGTGTGTATTTAAAGGGCCCCGCGATGCAAAGGGCTCCCAGTGCTGTCGGCCGCGGACCAAGCTCTGGATTCACTGACACAGAAAAGGGAAACCGCCCCTGAATCCTGTGACCAGGATCCAATGGTAATTGGCCTCCGAGATCACTCACGGCAATCAGGGGAAGTAATATGTTTCTGAATAATTATGAATAATTAGGCACATTTATGAATAATTACACTGATAATAACTATCTAACTCATTCCATTTTAAATTCAGTCATTATAGATCGGGGAGTCCTTGCCTCCATCCTGCTCACCGCCTCCTCGGGCGGCCAATGCAACAGTGAAGGTGGGAGTCCCTCTCCAGGACAGCGCTGGACTCACCTTGGGGACCAAGGGACATCCCGGGGCCCTAGGGTGGGGCTGCACATCCCCCTGACTGACTGGAAAGGACTCCAGACAGCACAGCACGGCACGGGGGCCATGAGGAGACAATTTCCCTAAGACACTGGAGTTTCGACATCTAGTGTCTCATTTATCAATATGTAAATGACTCAAAGCTGGCCTAGGACTCATGGTGAGGAGAAGCCATTGTTCCCACGGATTATGGTAAAGAATACTAAATTGTAACTGCAATTTTTTTCTTAGAGTCTTCTTGACCGAATACTAGGCTGCTCAGACAATCAGAAGTCTCCATTTGAACAAGGAATCTTAGTGTCACCAAAAAAAGGGGTCCTCGGACTTTAAACAACATGTGTCCTTTCCTTACTGCCCTGGCATCCTCCTGTTTTCTTGTTTCTCTTTATTCTTCCTTTTCCCTTTTTCTCTCCCCACCTCTCTCCCCCATCCTGTGCCTACTTCTCTATAAATCTCACGGCTCTTTCTGTTCTAATCCTAACAACATCAATCATAAAAGTAAGTTTATATATTTTCCTGACGCTGAAAGTAATATCTGTTAATTCAGAAATTTGGATGAAAGGGAGGAGGAATGAAGAATTTTAAAAATCAATCATCTCAGCCTTTGAGAGCGCCAACGTTACATTAATATTTTAAAGTGGTTCTTTTCGGTATATAGCATTAATACCTTACAGTTTATAAACAAAGTCTTTCATACAGAAGTAACCATATCAGAACTCTGTCTTAGACCCAGCCCAGGACCTGAAATAGTATGGTGCACCCTTTGTGGAGATCTGACACAAACAGCACCCCACTGAGTTTCTGAAGTAGTCATTTCTGGATGATTACAGTGGATCCCACACATCAGAACTGCCCAGGGATTTTGGGGGGGGATGAGACTAGATCTTCCTAGACACCATCAGTGTTTCATTCTGGTAGATCCGGAGTAAGGATCAACATGGGATAGGAATGGAACAGCAGATTATGCAGGACTGGGTCTTCCCTGCCAAGAATCCTAGACCTTATTGAGAAGCAATGTGGTCTTTGAGCAGATGAATGACACGGCCAGATGGACACAGGAGCAAGATGACTTCGGTGCAGTGATCAGAACGAACTGAGTGATCATGAGACAGCACAGTGGGCAGTGAGGAGAGGGAGGAACATGGATCCATCACCTACTGCAGTGACCCTGAATATCTCGCCAGCAAGTTACAACTGCGTGAAGTGAGAAAGCATAGTAGGGAAACGACGAAACAGATCACTGTGAAAACCATGTGTGACGGAATTAATGAAGGACCGTGCGTGTCGGCTGTGAGAGCTAAAAATCAGAGCTTTGTGATTTGGATAAAAATACAGAGAAGCAATAGCTATACTTGGGTGATTAAAGAAGCATGTGCGTTGATAATGGGGGCAGCCACGATGAACTCACTTGCTAAGAAAGAGTGACCCAAAAATAAGGTCACTCATTAAAAAACATTTCTGAAATGATCATTTGGGTTTACTTTTAATGAAAATAAAGTGTTGCTTCTTTTCTTCTGAGTATTTCTATATAATGCAGTGCAGTAGCACCAGAGACTAAGACCCTGAGATGTCGGCCTATCCTGAGGTCCCCAACAGAGAAAGGATCTTGGGGGAGACGTTTCCCATCACCCTATCACCTGCTTCCTCTATGACCAGAAGAGAGGTCATCAAACAAACCCATGACTCTATTTCCCCAGGGAAGCGGGGGCCAGAAAATGCAATGTACCTCTTCCCACAAGTTCTCCTTCTTGTCACGCTGGGATATCTACAGTCCTTTCATTAGAAAATTCTAAGTAGATCTGATGTCAGTTTCCATGTCCCAGCAAAATCTCCCATGGATTTCGGGAGAGTTGACTTCCAGAGGGAGAATTTACTACCAAACCTTTGGAATAAAACCTTAGGCTGCTCCTAGACTATCTTAATCTAAGAGCTTCAAGAACCAAGTGTTTTTACTTAAAGTATATAAACAAGCTAATTTTTTGTCACTTTTTTTTTTTTGGTACCGGAGATCAAACTTGACCTTGTACTTGCCAGAAAGGCACTTATGCATCAGTCTACCAGTCTTTTGTTTGGTAGCTTGTTTTTGTTTTCCTGTAAGGCACAGAGCTAATGCTAGTCTAAAAAAAAGAGTTCAAAGAGCAAGAGGAAATTCTGGAAGAATTTTTCAATAGATTTCATTGTGTCTCAATTCGAGTATCTTTTTCTTGGCGGAATAAATGGAAGAGACCAAGAAATATGTCTTGATATTATAAAGCCATTAAAATCATGGTTATAGAGATTATTTAGCAACACAGGAAAATGCTTATCGAAAAAGGCAATCTATGGAAGTTAATATTCACTCTGATTGCAACTGTAATTTTAAAGCACAACAGTGAGAATTGGGAGGAGGCATTAGCAGTGTTCTGTTGGATTCACGATAATGCATTTTCCTTTCATTATTTTATACCTTTTTAGAGCATGTTCGTATCTGTTGTTAAACGTGCCCTGGTCAAAGAACCAGAAACTGAGAAGGAGGAGAAAAACCTCGAAAGGGGAAAGGTCTTGCCCATGGTCATCCTGTCAATCAGTTCAAAGAGCTCAATGTAGAGCGTATAATTAGAGAGGAGAATCCCATGCTCCCTTGATCCAACCATGAGAAAAATGCAGCCTCACCAGGCCAGAAGCTGGTTTCCCAACTCTTCACCTTGGATAGCAGCCCCCAATGTGGAGAGCAGAAATGTGGGAGCTTTCTGAGGCCAAAAGCAGAGCTTTTCCTTCTTCCCTGGGAAAAGGGACCACGCCCAGTGCCCGCACTGCCACCCCACACAGGACTGTTTCCAGAGGAGCCCGAGGAGAGGGTTTCAGGGAGCCTCAAGGTGTTGGGGTAATGATTCTGCTGTCTCTCCAACCACCTCCACCTTCCTCGCTACCAGAGATACCTCAGTGATTGATGCGATGCGAGAGACACTTTGAAATTCTGAGATAGGATGGGGCTGCCAGAGAGGAGAGGAAAAGAGAACCAGAGGGACAAGGAAGGAGACAGGAGGGGTGGGTGCTCCCGAAGCACTGAGAACATTAGGACACGTCAGGGCTGGCGAAGGAGGCATGGAGTTAATGACGATAAACACTTCATCTCTGTGCAGATATGTGCATTTTACCTAATGGTCTCAAGCATCCGTAAGTGGAGAAAGGCTCAGAGTAAATCATAGGAACAGGCCCGAGATGGGAACCCCTTAGGAATGGGATCTGAATTTTTAATGGCTGCCAGAATTTCACACATCAAATTACAATAAGCAGAATGATATTTTAAGCAGCTCAGTACTTAAAGGTTTCTACTTTTGGTTATTTTTTTTTCCTGTGCCAGTGGGAGCTTTGCAGAGGACTTACTCATTTGGACATTTCTGGTTATGGGTTCAGAAACAAACAAGAAAGGCTTTCAACCTGAAAACTGTTTGACTGGCAAACATTCAGAAATGCCCAGGTCCCCATTTTCCAGCTTCGATCCTCTATTCCAGGTGTCTTTACTATGGAGGACAATGCAAGGGAAATTAAAAATACAAATGGACAATGGCCAGACCACTTATAAAATAAAACTGCAATCCACAGGCCACAGCACCCAGCCTAAGAAACCAGGTCCCTGATCTATAGTAGCCAACCTAGCAAGCCAGCCTACCACCTAGCTACAAGTCAGGCTCATAGGAAATTAGATTGTTACTTGTAGCAACAGGGCCAGGAAATCAAGCAATGACTTCTATACAATGACTTGTATAAAACTCATCCCAAAAAGTCTAAAGCTTGATTAATAGCTAACATATTGCTCACTTCCAGCTTTGAACCAACCAAAGAAAGCCAAGAATGCACTTCATACAGAATGCACCTGACTTAGCCGATCCAAAGTACTACAGGCAAATACTAAGGACGGGGCAATTCACAAACAACCAACATTTGTTTCTCACAGTTTTAGTGGCTGGGGAGGCCCACGAGGAAGGCACCAGCAAATCTGGCATCTGGTGAGGGCTTGCTGTTGCTTCAAAGATGACATCCTGCAGAGGCAGAAGGTCAGGGTCACTCCCTTCGACCTAAGGACACTAATCCCGTCCATGAAGGTCCATCCTCATGACTTAGGCACATGACTCAACCTAACCTGAAGAGATGTGACCCTGATCCCCAACAAACTACCAATCAAATAACTTTAGCAGGCTAATGAGGCACCTGTATCCCCAGCACTCTGAGAGCCTGAGGCAGAAGGACAGCAAGTTCCAGCCCAGTTCTGACAACTTGGGGACTTTGAGATCCTGTCTCAAAATTTAAAAAATAACAAAAGGGAGCTAGGGATGTAGCTCACTGTAGAAGTTTTGGGTTCCATCCCCAATACCACAAAAAGAAGAGAGGGGAGGAAAGAAGAGAGGGAAGGGGGAAAGTAGCATTTTGTAAATGCCAGCTCTGTTTCAAAAGCCAAAGTATTACAAAGAAAATTTAAGTATCAGCCCATTTTCCCCATCATGTATTACAGTTACCTTAAACATCATTTACTGTTAATTGATAGTTGTATTCACTACTCAGAATTTACTTTAATCATAATTTCTCCTCACTATATATCTGTTGGTTTGCTCCATGACATAAAGAATATAGGAAATTTAAAATTATCCAGCACAGTTAGGTATTTGATTATTTGACTATTCCAGTAGACCAAAGGTCAATATATGTGGTGTATATAAATGAACAATTTGGAAGAATCAGAATACACTATAATATAGATATTGTTCAAGCCACACTATCCAAAATATAATTTTCCTTGGATAATGAAAGGTAATTGAGAATTTTCCAATGCCTTATTTTCATCATTTTAAATATCACTTATGATAGGGATTTTTTTCCCTTTTCTGTGATGAAGGTTTCCAGATGGAAATTTTCAAATTTTGCATAGAAACAATAGTAAAAACAATAATGAACATGACATTAAGTAACTGTATGAGCACCAACTACATGCTAACCACACAACCCATTTTCTCCTCACACTCAGCCTCACACTCTGCTTTGAATCTTTTTCACACTTGCTGGGATTTTCAGAGACTAGGAAAGCTGCTCCAGTCATGTTGCTAGTGAAAAGTGGACTTAGGAATTTGCACCCTAACCGATGGATCCCCGGGCTCTTTCAGTAAAACTTTGTGAAGTTCGTGACTTTTCATGGCAGTATTCAACATGCAAAGAACTAAGAAAAGCGAAAAGAAATACTGTACTAACACGCAATTAGAAAAAAATAGCCCATTTACAAAAGAAAAATCTCAAGACTCAAACTTGGTAAGAAAAAATTTTCAAATAAAAAAACAGCTAAAAGAAAATCAAGTTATAATTCAAACAATGTTAAAGAAAATATTCTCTCTATAAAAGGCCTTGCAAATACATCAGTCTATTTTCAACTGACATAGAATGCATAATCTAATTTTCTATTATTATAAAATTGTAGATGAAGAAATAGTACACACACTTCAAGTTTATATTTCCAGTGGAACAGCTCAATTTCATTTTATCATTACTTTTATCTTCCTATCTCCAGAGAGTAGTGGAAAAAGATGGATTAAATGTGATGGAATCTGCAGAAGCTTGAGTAATGCCAAATAAAATATCTATGTGTTACTGTTGTTTTAATTGTGTGGCATCTTACAGACTTTAGTCTCCACCAGAATGATCAATCTGTCACTTAAATTATTTGACTATTGATTAATCTCCAGCAATGTGTTGACATAAGTCTTACTGTAAAAAGAAAACCTACTCCCCTGTCTCCTGCCACTGGGATTCTGAGTCTCCTGTCTTTGCCTTTTTGCATGATTAATGTTGGTCTGAAGCTAAGGAATCAATAAACATTTTCTGAGACAGAGATATCTACATCCCTAAAGAGGACTGCCTATTTAGTTTCACGCTCCGTCTACAAAATACATTACCCTTTGCAGTGGAAGGGTCAGGTTTCACAGCTTGATGAGAATCAGGAAGTTTGTTCTGCTTCCTTGGTCTTTTCAATGTGCAAAGCCTAACACTAGGACTATACCATCTGGTGGCCAGGAGGAGTAACTACACTTATCCCTGGAATACACCAAGTTAAACATAGAAAGAAAAAGAAAACTCTTTTTTGAATGCTACTGATAGGATACTGACATGCTTCTTCTTTTTCTTTCTTCTCCTCCTTTTCCTCATCTTATTCCACCTCCTTTTTCCAGTGCTAGGAATTGAACCTAGGACTTTGTAGCTCCTAGAGAAGAAATGCTCTACCACTGAGCTACAGCACCCAACCCAATATTGTCTTCTCAAGAGAATGAAAGTACAAGAAAATCCTCTCTCTCTCCCTCTCCCTCTCTCTCTCTCTCTCTCTCTCTCTCTCTCTCTCTCTCTCTCTCTCTCCCTCTCCCTCTCCCTGTCTCTTTCTCTCTCTCTCCATCTCTCCCTCTGTCTCTCTCCCTCCCTCTGTCTCACACACATGCATGCACACACACACACACATACAATCACACATATACACATATTGCACAGAATTCTTCACCCAGTGCTTAGAAATCCACCCTATTCCAAGAGACAGCATTTACTGTCTGAGACTGAGAAAGACTTTATCTTCTCAGGCCATGCAGGTTTGTTCTTCTGCCTCCCTGTGGGAAAACACTTGCAGTATATGAACACAGCTGCGTCCAATATACAAAATCCAGAAATGAGAATGGAAATCTCCAAGCAGTAGATATGGAAGAGACACCAGGGAAGTTTTACAGAATTCTCACTTCCTGCTCATCATCACACAGAGCTGTCAAGAGTAAAGACATGGCTTCAGCGTTTGTCAATTTTAGGTCTGCTTATAAATTATTTTATCCAAATAAAACAAATACAATAATTGGGATGCCAGGTTAAGAATTTTAGGCTGACCGTTTTTCCTTATTTCTCTGCATGTTCAACCAAACTTCTCTATGCCATGGAGACAAAGTGGTCCACCCTGAGTAATAGCTGACACAAAAAAACCACTGTCACTCTCTGCGTAGCTCCAGACCAGGGAGGTTGTGGGACAGGGGGCTCTACGCGTGGCTGAGCCCTTTGTCTGTAGAAATAGGATTCTTGTTGTGATTCTGTTCTCTTGAGTTGGGGCTGATTCACAAAATAAAGCCAGTCAAGGGGAACATAATCTGATAAACCTGGAAATGACTGCAGCTCATTCAGGCCTGAGTGAGGTCCCCACAGGGACACTGTCAACACATCAGATCTAAGCTTAAGAGTTCCGAGACAAGGGTATCTGTCCTTGGTCCCCAGTTTCCAGAGGAAGGACAGGAAGACTTGATTTTTATAAAGAGGATGCCAGGTGAGCTCTGGCTTTCATGCAGCAGAGATTCCAAAATCAGCCCGTTTCTGGGGCTATTTGTGGTACAAATCTTCAGAGAGAATTCTCTCCATGCCTGGAAAGGATAAAAAATTAGCAGTCCAACCATGTCATGGAACCAACCAGGGACATTATTTAATACATCTAATTACATGAGAATAATTTCATTAGCACCAGCTTTCATTTGAATATGCTGCAAATGGTCAAAAGAAATTTATGTCTCCTTCCTGGAACACGTCCAGAGTGAGAGAGAGCTCATGGCTGGAGATTCACTCTAAGGGACAATCACAAGGTATCAAATTGTGAGCTCCTTGAGCATATGGAGCAAATGGACAGCGCTTCTTGAATTTTGAACTATTGCAGAGAAACATTTAGTTAGCTTATGCATAAGGCAACTCGCTAGTGGAAGGGCCTGAGACAGAGACAGGTGACTAGCTATACTGATAAAAATAAGAATAGACAGTGAACAAGGACCATGGACAAAGAATGAATTTCCTCAAGCAGCATGGAACTGAACGGAGATGCGGCCACTCCTGATTAAGTTCTTGAATTTCAAAGGAATTATAATGCAAATTAACTGCTTCTTACCATAAACAGTTACATGCCAAAGAATGAGACAAATGCCTGAGCCCCAGTTGGTCATTTTAAATCCACAGAGCCACCTGTGCTTGGTTACCACAGACTAACTGAACAATTCCCCAGCTCTGTTCATCTATAATGAGCCCAAATCAGGATGTCACGAAGCCACGCCATTCAGGACCTCTCCTGGAAAACCAGGAGCTGTTCTCCTCCGTGCCAATAAAAACTCTCTTCTCCTCTTCCTTTGTTTCACGATTTCATTCCTTGACTTTGGAGAACCACGAGCCCCAGGACACATGATGTCACTGAGTATTTACAAAATATTCTTGCCAGCAGTAGGTGAGTGTCAGGAAAGACCTATGTGCACCTGAACAGGGACCATGTAAGAAACAGGCCACCCCGCAGGGGCCAGGTGACAGAGGATCCCTGGGGCCTCATTAAACATCCCACTCCCCCACGGAGGAGACCACCACGCTGTCACTAGGAGCAGAGGCTTCAGTGCCCTGCTCTGGATGGACTTTGGATAAAGTGTGACAAGGGCAAAACACAGCCGTCCGTTCTCCCTTCCTTCCTTCCTTCCTTCCCTCCTTCCACCCGTTCTCTCTCCCTTCATGCTCTCCCCCCTCTCTTCTTCTGCCCTCTTTCCATTCCCTTACTCCTCTCTCTCTGCTCCCTCTTTTCCTCCCCCTCTCCCTCCTCCTCCTCATTTCCTCTTCTTCCTTCTCTCTCTCTTTCTCTCTTTCTTTTCCTCCCTATTCCTCTTCATTTCTTCCACTTTCAACACCACCGATAAACAGTCAGGAAGGAATCCCACCACCTGGTAACAAAAGCATTCTGACTTTAATTTTAGCCCAATCACGACTCTGGATCTTTAGCCAAGTGCTATTTACAACCGTAGTATCCCTTGATGCCTCAAAAATGAATCCATGAAAATGTCAAAATATAGTCAGTACAGCATCTCCTTGTTAGCCCAGGAGGTTGGCGTTAACATCATGCTTGTGAACTTTGTACGACTTGGCCAAACTGCTGTCTGCCTCTCCAGACCCCAACTATGACCAGTGCCCCTCTATTTTATTTCTCTCCTGCCCCAACTTAACTGTACCCAGTGGCGCTGAAGCACCCTTATGTTGGAATCAGCAGGAAGAGGACTGCTTTACAGCTGAAAGCAGGCCACCAGTAAGGGCTCATTGACACCTGCAGCTTTAGAGAAAAAAGGAGAGCCTTGGCCAGCTTCAAAAATATCAAGAATCCAAAATGACAAAGGCTACCTCTCCTCCCCTGGCCCCACTCCCACCCCTTGCTCCACCAGGAATAGATAATATTTTATCCAGATTGAAAGAGAGAGAGAGAGAGAAAAGCGTTCCCCAGAAAAAAACCCAGAGGGGGGCAGAAATGGACTGGCTCAGCCCTTCCTGCCTCATCAGTCTCCTGCTGCTGTGAGCGCGGTCCTCCAACACTACCTCTGGTGGAGCAGGAGAGAGCTGCAGGTGAAAGGTTACCTACATTTATAATGTCAGGCACCCGGCCTGCCAGGTAAAAGGTAAATGGTAATTTTATCATTAGCATTCCTGACCCCGTGGCCGCCCCATATCTCACAGGAAGCGGCAGGAACACTCACCTGTCAGGATGCTAACGCTTAAAGGTCAATGCGCACAGAAAGCTTCCAGAGCTCACGACTGAATTGCTGACACCTTTTATTATTGCCGCTTAAATAAATGATTCAAGGGGCAAGACAAGGAAAGACTGGCTTAATATAGAGATTTACATGACAGATTCTTGGGGATTTCATTCCTAAATAACAACAAAAACTTGCTGTGTTTGCATATAAGGAGCAAGCAAAGCTTTGGAAATTTACAAAACTTCCTGGACTTGAGGATTTTCAATATTCCTAGAAAATAAACTATCAGTTTTAAATGTAATTTTCTAGGGAAGTCTCCCCCTCCTTTTGCTTACTACCCCTAAAGATAATTTCTGAATATTAAGAGAGTTTTCATGGCATCATAAGAAAATTACTCAATTTGAAAACAGAGATCATTAGAGATGGGAAAGATTCTCCATTTTTTCCAATTAAAATCATAAAGAAAATGTGGTATTAAAAGTGGGTAGGGCAGTTCCTCAGATGATTAGAGCTACAGCAGGTCGAGCGAGCCCACGTCTAAGTAGACATTCACGAGAATTGAAGGCAGGGATTTAAACAAAAACTCATAAATCCGTGCTGCTAGCAGGATTAATCACAACTGAATGAATGCACTATTCACACCAGAAAGCACCCGAGGGTACGTCAGCGGATGCATGGATAAACAATGGAATACAATTCTGCCTGAAAAAAAAGGAAATTCTGGCCCATACTATTCCATGGAAGAATGTTAAGGAAATTGTGAAAAGGGACATAAGCCAGACTATAAGACCATCTACAGGAACACAGTAGAGTAACAGTTACCTAGGGCGGGAGATTCAGGAGACGCGGTTTGTGGATATGTAACTCTATCTCAGGCTAACAAACTACCTCAAAACTGATTGGAGCGCTGGATGTGTGACTCTCCACCAAGAGCCATTAAATTATGAACCTTTCTCAGCAGAACTGTATCAATCATAATTCCACAAAGCTGCTGTTTTTTTTAAGTAAGCATGATTTCTTTGAGTAAAAATGGTAATGTTACTAAACATATAAAGATATAGTTGCCAGAAGAAAAAAAAAAGCAATGGCCTTTTTAATCAGCTAATTCTCACCAGTCTAGATAAAGTGAAGTCTAAATACTGCAAAAGAGACCTTGATATTACAGTACCGTTCATGTCGTGCCTGTTTGGTTCATTCTCCATGTGAATCAGAATTTTCTTCTCTGAACTTCAGACTCTTCATTTGTTGTTACCAGAGGGTTAAGTGCCCCCCTGAATTTGTGTGTGCGGAACACTATGCACCTGACTCCCTAAGTGATGCCATTGGAAGTGAGGGCTTTGGACGGTGATTAGGTCATGAATTTGAAGCCATTAGGAA